ACGTCAGACTGAATGTGTGGTGGGTTTCGTCTGAGATACATACTCGTTGTCTCGGCTCGGGTGACTCGTGGACTCGTGCACAAGTAGGGCCAGGGAAAGACGTGCCAGTCAGTCGGCACAGCTTTGGCACAACTTTGGGAGCAGCTCTGTGCGCTTGTAGCCTCCGTTTGGCGGAGAGCTCCCCTGGCGCTCGGATGCTTCTTGCGTGCGGCCTGAGGCCCCCCCGCAGAAAACCTTGCCTTGTCCTATCTCTGCTCCTTCCTCACAACGTGCGTGCCGCGCTACCCCTCTGCCGCAGCGACCCCAGGTATGGGGGGATGACCAGCTTAGGGGAGGTGGATATCGAGCCTGAAACGGCGATACATCACCAAGATATCGGCGAAGGCCCTCGGTAGATAGCAAAGACGCACGGTCCTGCGCGGGGCGGGCTATCGGGCCCCTCGGCGATCGATGCGCGATTGGGAGTCGATGCGTCCCCCCCCCGAGCCGATCCCTGCCCCCCCAACGTTGTCCCTGACCGAGGCGCCCCCGCCGCCATCTTCATCGCGCGCCCTCGCCCACCCCCACCCCCCTGTAGGGCGGCGCCTTCAGGCCGTTGAACAGCGACATGTCCGTGTCAGCCTCAAGGGGCTTGTGCTAGGCGTCGTGGTCGTCGTCGGCGGCGTCGACGAAGGGGGAGAATGGTGAGAAGGAGGATGAGGAAGAGCGGGAGAGAGGAATGCGGGGAGGACGTCGTCGGGAGTAGGGTGGGAGACGAGGGGAAGGATGGCACGGGGAAGGCGGAGCTCCCTATGGGGACACGAAACGCTGTGCTGGGTGGGGGAGACGCATGCGGGCTGTGCCATTGGGACCTTCCGTCGAGCTCCCAGTGGGGCCACGAAGCGCTGTACTGGGTGTGGGAGACGCATACGGGCTGCGCCACTGGGACCTTCGGTTGTGGAGCACACTGGGGTGGTGGAGCGGTTGTGGGACACTGCGGGCTGCGCCACTGGGTGGTGAAGCACCCTATTGGGCCACGAAGCGTTGTACTGGCCCCCGCGGGGGCGTCTTTCCCAAATTAAGCGGGTCTTCCCAAACCAAACCTTCGGTTCGGGTGACACAAGTCTTGGTTTGGGAACACCCGGTTGGTTTGGGAAGACCCACTTGGTTTGGGAAGAACCAGGGCTTTGCTTGGGGAAGACCCGGTTGGTTTGGGAATTTGGGAAGACCTGGTTGGTCTGTGAAGACCCGGGGGCTTGATTTGGGCAGACCCTGTTGGTTTGGGAAGACCCGATTGATTTGGGAAGACCCGTTTGGTTTTGGAAGACCCGGTTGGTTTGGGAAGACCCGGTTGGTGTGGGAAGACCCGGTTGGCTTAAGAATACCTGTTTGGTTTGTGAAGGCCCAGGGGCTTGGTTTGGGAACACCTGGTTAATTTTGGGAGACCCGTTTGGTTTGGGAAGACCCAATTGGTTTGGGAAGGCCGGGGGTTTGGGTTCGGGGAGGCCCAACTGGTTTGGGAAGACCCGCTTGATGTGGGAAGACCCGGGGGCTAAGTTTTTGGGAAGGCCTGGCTGAAGACCCGGGGGCTTGGTTTGGCAAGACCCGCTTGGTTTGGAAAAGCGCGATTGGTTTGGTAAGACCCGAGGGCTCGCTTAAGCAAGGCCCACTTGGTTCGGGCGGAACGGGGGGCGAAACGAAGGCGAGAACGAAGGCGGGAACGAGAACGGAAACAAGGGCCAAACTAAGGCACAACGAAGGCGAGAACAAAGGCGAGAACGAGGGCGGAAACGAAGAGAAACGAAGACGAAACGAAGGCGAGAACCAATGCGAATCGAAGGCGAATATAAAAGGCAAAACCGAGACGGAAACAAAAGCGAAACGAAAGCGACACGAAGGTGAGAACGAAGGCGTGAACAAGACCGAACCGAAACGAAACAAAGGCGAGACCGAGAGCGGAAAGGAAGGCGAAACGAAAGCGAAACGAAAGCGAGAACGAAAGGCGGAAACAAGGGCCAAACGGAGGCGAAACGAACGCGAGAACAAGGCGAGAACGTGAGCGGAAACCAAAACGAAACGAAACCGAAACGAAGGCGAGAACAAAAGCGGGAATGAGACGGAAACGCGCACGAAACGAGGGCGAAAGCGAAACGGAGATGAAACGAAGGCGAGACGAAGGCGGGAAACGAGGGCGGATACAAAGACAAACGAAGGCGAAACGAAGGCGAGAACGGAGGGCAGAACGAAAGTGGAACGAAGGCGAGAACGAAGACGAGAACGAAGGGAAGAAACGAAAACGATAACAGGGGCGAGTCGGGTCGAACGGGCGGACCCGAACGGGCGGGTCGGGTCGGGCGGGCGGGACACGCGAGTTCAATGCATCATCGACTTGGCGTGATTGCAGCCTAATGGGCGGGTCGGTCGAGCGGGCGAATCGAATCCGGCGGGCGGACCCTGACAGGCAAGTCAGGTCAGGCAGGCGTACCCTAACGGGCGGGTCGTGCCGGGCGGGCGGGGCATTAAAATATTATGCATCATCGAGTTGGCGGACGTGTGCCCTAACGGACGGGTCGGTCGGGCGAGGGGGTCGGGTCGGGCGGGCGGACCCTTACGGGCGGATCACATCGAGCGGGCGGAACACTGAAATATGATGCAACATCGAATTGGCACGCGTGCGGCTGGTTTCCGGGGGCCCTGAGCAGGCTCCAAAATCGTCAAATTAGCTTGGCGAAAGACCCAACCATATGCAGTTGTGAATACCGTCTTCGTGAGTAACGCATTCGGTGGAGGTCCCTATGGGGCCAAGAAATGCTGTCATGGGCGGGGGAGACGCATGTGAGTGCAGCCACTGGGTTTTTTGGTGGAGCTCCCCATGGGGCCACGCAGCGCTGTCCTGAGTGGGGGAGACGCATGCGAGTTCAGCCATTGGGGCCTGCGGTGGAGCTCCCTCGGGGGCCGCGAAACGCTGTGCTGGGTGGGTGAGACGCATGCGAACACCGCCACTGGGGCCTGAGGTGGACCTCTTTATGTGGCCACGAAGCGCTGTGCTGAGTTGTGGAGACGCATGCGCACACCGCCACTGGGGCTTAGGTGGGGCTTCTTATGGGGCACGAATCGCTGTATTGCACTGGGTGGGGGAGACGCATGCGGGCTGCGCCACCGGGACCGTCGGTGGGGTTCTCGGGTCGCAGCAGCAACGACATCGGCATTATGCCCAGATTTGTCCTTTGAGTCCTGGGTTGCATGATCTTCTGGCGGCTGTCGTCGAGGCCCCACTTTGTCCCAGTCCTCCTCCCCGTGTGAGCTCGCGGCACCCGAGCCGCCGCCCTCGCCAAGGCCCATGGCCTCCCTCAGCGTCCCCGACATTGCTCCGCTTACCAGTGTCACTGATAAACGGACATACGGTGATCGAACACATGTCGAACGTGGGAGGGACAGCCTTTTTCCCTGGCAGAAAGGGGCGGCCAGCTCAAGGTGCACAGGCGTGCGTCTAAACCAAAGGCTGCGGAGGAGGGCTAGAGAGACCCGGCGAGGACCCAACACCCCGGGGCCACAGGGATTCCGAGGAACAATCCATGGATTTGGCGCGCGGGCGCTAACTCCATGGATCGGGGGAGGTGCCCTCCCCAACCAAAGTGCGGCCGTTGCCGTCTCGTTCGGCGGCGGAAAACCTCGACTACTCATGGAAACGGGACCCGTCGCTAATCCACGCCCCCTGGATCCATGTCTGCGGTCGTCTGATTTTGGTGGCGGCCTGGGGACCCAGCAAGGGCTTCCGCTTGCAAGAACTGTCCGTCGCGGGTTCGTCACGACGCGGGCCAGCGGCGCGCCCATGCGGGAAGCGGGAGGGGGTGAAAGGCACCGCGGCTTCGGAGAAGGCTTCGGGAGCTCCTCGGAAGGCCTCCGGCCTTCTGAGCCTTCCGAAAAAGGCCACCTTCTACTCTTTCTCCCTTTGAAAACTGTATAGGCTTCTCGATTTGCGCGTGTCATCCTTGAGCAGGGGCCGTGCGACTCTTCTCTGTGCCGTTCCATTGTTAACGGATGATCCTGACGGGAATCCACAACAAAAAAGCACCTCCTCTGCTTTCCCCCTCGGGCGCGAGGGGGCCCCGGCGGCACCGTCCGCTGCGGGCGCCCTGGGGCGCAGCGCGCGGCGCCAGCCTTGAACATGTCCTTGCAGATCATCAGGCACCTCTCCTGCTTGTCGAAGCGCTCCAGGCAGCCAACCTGGCCCTCCCCAGACAGTCGACGACGTGGTTTGGGTTGGCCACCTGGCCCCCCAGAGGTCTACACCTCGTTCATTTCTAATCGTGCCCATTTCTAATTGTGCTCGTTTCTAATTGTTCCTGGCCACCTAGTGGCCAGGAAGAGGCCCAGGATAGAACAATTGGAAATGAAAGGATCTTGGCCCCCCAAAAAAATCAAAGAACTTTCGAAGAACTAGACATGAACAATGTGTACCCTTTTCCGGGGACAGTCTTTTCATCCTGGGTCGTGTTCTGGCAGTCCCAGGGCTCGACAAAGGCTCTCAAGGGCACCTCCAAGGCCCGCGCGACGCAGCTCGGAGTGGGACAACCGTCCTTCGTCCCACTCGGAGCTTGATGAGGGGCTGCCGCTCGGAGGCAGCTCGGAGCGGGACGAGCGCTGCCCTGGCGGGCCCCTCACGAATTAGCAGACCGGCCCGAACCAACACGGGATCGTCGACATCCAGAACAACATGAAATGAGGAACACCAGGCTCCGAGGGCTGGCGCAATTATTGGACGGCCTCACCTCGGCTTTTGCATTCGCACTTTTATGTGTAGCGCTCGGTCCAAGTTCGGCTTCAATTCTGGTTTTGGCTTTAGCGTCGCTCGCCGCGTCGGATCCCACTCGGCCAACTAAGGGTCGGACCCGCGCGGCGGACTAATAGATCCGACTCCCGCAACCTTGCCCGAGCTGAACCAGACTGCGCCCAGCCGCCGAAGGGGCTCAGACTGAAATTGAGACTGAAGGAGCACCTCCTTTTCCACGCCCAGCGCACCACGAACAATCCTAAGGGAGAGGAAAGGGAATCTAGACCCCCGGCGTCATGATTGCGCTCACAACATGGACCCCCGGAGGTCTCGATACATTCCCCGGGACCAGCTTTACATCTCGAGTCGTGCTTGACGGTCCCAGGGCCCAGCGAGGGCCCCCCCGAGGCCGAAACATTCAAAAACCTGCCGCCGTGGTTTCGTTGCCCAAACCTTTTGTGTTGGGTTTTCGTTCTGAATAGAGCCCCGTGATCTCCGTCCTTCTTCCTCCTCCTCCTCGCGGTTCCCTGGGGGGCTGTGAACTGCCAAACGGTCACCACGTTCGTTGGCTCCGGGGAGACACGTCAGAGTGGGGGAGTACGCAGATCCAGCCTAGAACTCGCGGCTCCCTGGGGGGGGCTGCGAAATGCGAAACGGTCAGCACGTTCGTTGGCTCCTGGGAGACTCGGCGGAGTGTGGGAGTGCGCAGATTTAGACGAGACTTCGCGGCTCCCTGGGAGGCTGCGAATTGCGTAGATGGCTCCTGTGAGGGAGTACGCAAATACATCCAAGACCTCGCGGTTCTCTGGGGAGCTGCGAAGTGCGAAACGGTCGCCACTGTCGTGAGCTCCTGGGAGGCACGGCGGAGTGGGCGAGTACGCGAATCCATAAGAGGCCTCGCGGAGTGCAACAATGTGGCCACTTTCGCGTGCTCCCCGAAGGCCCAGCAGAGTGGTGGAGTTGTACACAGATCCAGCCGAGCCTCGCGGCTCCCTGGGGGTCTGCGAGGTGCGAGACTATTGCCACTTTCTTAGGCTCCTGGGGGGCCCAGCGGGGCGAGATGCACACCGATGCAGCCAAGAACTCGCGGCTCACCGGGGGGCTGCAAAGTGCGCAACCGTCGCAATTTTCGCTGGCTCCTGGGAGGACCAGCGGAGTTGAGATGTACACCGATCCAGCCGAGACCTCGCGGCTCCATGGCGGGCTGCGAGGTGCGAAACTATTGCCACTTTCGTGAGCTCCTAAGGAAAGCCAGCGGAGTGGGGAAGTACGCAGATTCAGCGGAGACCTCGCGGCTGCCTTGGGGGGTGCGAAGTGCGAAACTCTCGCCACTTTCCTTGGCTCCTGGGAGGACCAGCGGAGTGGGGGAGTACGCAGATCCAGCCGAGACCTCGCGGCTCCCGGGGGGTTGCGGGACCTCGCGAATCCAGCCGAGACCCCTCTTCTGGTTTTACTTCTGGATGCTTCTGCGCACTGCGGGTCCTTCAACATGTTCGTTCGCATTGAGCGGTCCTGCGTATAGTCGCCACATGCTGTAAAAAAGGGTTGGGTACGTCGCAGGGTAATGCCACGACGCGAGGAGGTCTGGGAACAAAAAAACAGCGTGAAGCCTTGGAGTGTTAGGTGGCACCTGCTCCAGAACAGGGACATACTGTAGACGGATATACAATTTTTCCGACCGTGTATTGCGCCGGACGCAGCGGCCGCGTTGTCGAAATTCCCCCCAAAATGCTTGCACTTCGGGGTTTGCATTTCTTCCACCAAAAATGTTTGCAATTAGGGGCTCTTCTTACTTCTGTTCGAAAGAACTGGGCCTGAGTGTTGGTCTGGCGGCTATGTTGTCGCCGTCGCCGCCCCGTCGCCGCCCGTCGTCTGAGCGTGATTGTCGGTCTGGCGGCTATGTGATCGCCGTCGCCGCCCCGTCGCCGCCTCGTCGCCGCCCGACCTCTGAGCCTGATTGTCGGTTTGGCGGCAATGTTCTCGCCGTCGCCGCCCCGCCGCCGCCTCGGCACGGCCTCGCGCAATTGCACTACATACGTTGCAGCACCTGGATTCTCTTTTCTAAAATCAGGAAATCGGTTCTACCACCCTCCCCCCCCCGGACTGATAGAGTCCCCGGGAACCGATGCAAAACACATATGATTCTGACCCAATGTCCATCCTACCTGTAAATTCGTACTATCTCAGCCGGGCCGGTATCGGTACCCCCTCGGTTCCCCTGGAAAGAATACTTGACGGTGACATTGTTTGTTCTAACATAACACATGTTCATGAACCCCTTGTTAAAAATACAATGCGGGGCACACGCGCGCGGCCGCTGCGCGCGCATGTCGAAATCCTTCCAAACACACTGTGTGTTCAACAATGTCAACGTCCCGCTTCACGATAACCTATTGAAACACGACTTTCTCACACAAAATGTTTGAAGAATCTGCCCGCGCGCTCTTGCCTAATCCTTCCAAAACCAATGGTTGTTCAACATTCCTGTCAAATCGGGCTTCTTGGGCAACTTTTGCGAGCACGTCGATCTCATTCAACAACGGTCGCGCGTCTGTCAGGGCCACAATCCCTTGTAACAAACTACCATGCGGAGCACATGCGCGCGGCCGCCGCTCGGGCAGGTCGGTATCCTTCCAAACAAATTGTGGCTTCAACAGCTCAAGACCGAGCTTCATGCAATCACACGAGTCGTACCATACATCTTCGGAAACAATCTACAAACAAATCAAACATTCTACCCGCGCGCTTTCCGAATCCCAAAACACCAAAATGGTTGTTCAACATTTCTGTCCTGCGAGCTACTTCTGCGCGCGCGTCGAACGCCTTCAACATCGGTCGTGCGCCTGCCAGGGCCACAATGCCTTGTAAAAAATACCGTGCGGGGCACTGCGCGCGCCCGCCGCGCGCGTATGTCGAAATCCTCCCAAACACCCTGTGTTTTCAACTAGTTTGTCGTCGTCGTCGTCGGCGGCGTCGTCGTCGTCGGCGTCGTCGTGGTCGTCGTCGGCGTCGTTGTCGTCGTCGGCATCGACGTCGTCGTCGTCGGCGTCGTCGTCGTCGGCGTCGGCGTCGTCGTCGTCGTCGTCGTTGCCGTCGTCGTCGAAGTCGTGGGAGTTGTCGTCGGTGTCGTCGTAGTCGTCGTCGGCATCGTCGTGGTCTTCATTGTCGCTGTCGTCGTCGGCGTCGGTGACGTTGCCAAGTGCCATTTGGTACCTACCGTCATGGTCTCAAGAGGTCTTGCGACCAAGTTGCGGATGGGAGGGTGGGACGTTTGCACGAGCAGTGGAGAGGACAGCGTCAAGACAGTCAAAGTGTATTGCATCACGTAGATTGCACCACGTAGATTGTATCATATGAACAACAACACATAGAATGCACAACATAAATCGCAATGCAAATCGTGCGCAACATAGGCCGCACGGCCTAGATTGCACACCTCAGTTCTGCACAACATATGTTGCACCACTGAAATCGCACAACAAAGATTCTGTCTTTTCTACACAAAAAAGAATTTGAATACACCCCCCTGCCCCTGGGATTATCGATCCACCCTGTCCCGGGGATGTGCAATTCACACACGTTTCCGCGCCATCGCGCGTTCGAAAAATGAGCCCAAACCATCCCAGCCAAACCGGGCCACCCCCACCATCCTCGTCAAATAAAACTGTGCGCGCGCACGGGATTATCAAACACAATTGGTTTGCCAGCACCCATTGCAAACACTGGGCCGAATGCCCAAGTGCGCGCCGTCGCGCGCGCATGCCCGAATCCTGAAACCACACTGGGTTTCGAAGGGTTTTCAAAATCATAGAAAACCATACGGCTAGTCAATATCACTATCACAAAAAAGCTAGCGCGCGCACAATCTTGCAGATTCTTGAGAACACCACGCGTGTGTCAACATGTTTATCAAATGCGACCACATGGGCCTTGCGTGCGCAAGCGCCGAAATCACTCGAACGCCCTTGCGCGCGTGCTTGGGGTGGGGCACGACTCCTGTCAAATAGTACCGTCCGGGCCACTAGCGCCGGTCGGCCGCGAGCCCAGGTCGAAACCCTGCCACAACCTTCACCACGACACGTGGACGCCATCATCGTCATCGTCGTCACCAGCATTGCCGTGATCATCATCGTGTCTGACGTCGTCGACGTCGCCATTACACCGCGCCCGCGTTCGCACTGAAGTGCCCGCGCGTCAACGCGTCCTGCGAGACGCGCTGGGAAGCCCCCATCTGTCAGCGCCACCGCGGCCACGGTCGCGGCAAACTAGCTGGCCGCTCGCGCGCGAGCCTGCGCGCGCTAGCGCGGCCGCAGCAATGCAGCAATCGTCGCCGCATGGGCTTTGCAAACCAGGGCGGCTGGGTGGGATGACTGCGCGATGAGAGGAATTGGCACCTTTAAATCCGGCAAATTTCACGCACATAAATTGCAGAAGCACCGACTGCATAATATGTTTCGCCACGCATAGATTGCACAACGCAGATCGCACCGCATAGATTGTACCACGTAGATCGACCACGTTGCATCACGTGGATTGCACCAGACCGGTTCAGCTTCCCAGGAAAGATTCGGATCGACCTCCCTCCACCTCAAGAACTTATCCGTCCCCGTGGGGATGCGCAGTTTGCACTGGTTTCTGCCCCATCGCTCATTATCCTGCTGAAAGAGGAAAGGTCGCAGCCAGGCCTTTATCGACCCCCCCCCCTCGCATCGCTGACATCGCACTCGTTTATCACAACTTACTCATGTGTAAAAACCCACGGGGAACATGGGAAACAAAGCATCCACACGCCCGCGACGTCGCGACCACATGCCGACATCCTGTAAAGTCATGAGGTTGCGTAAGGATTTCAAAGCCGACTGTCTCGAAACAAAATAAAACACATGGCTCTGCAACGTATGCTTCAAACGCTCGCGCGAAGAACTGAATAGACTAAAGACGGTTCTTTTGCATATTGATAGATGCGACCCAACGGGCTTACCTCTGAAGCGCACGTGTCGAAATCCTTTGGACGCCCTTGCGAGCGTGCGTGTGGGGGGGGGGTTACTCCAAGTCTTTGATTAATCGTCCCCTGGGGTCTGGTTTTTAAGGCGCCTTTTTTGTAACTGGGGGGGTACGGTTGATTAGGGCGCTGTCTTTGGATTGGAACTTAGGAGGTCCGGTTTATCAAGGCGCCCCGTCGAAGAGGGGGGTCTTGAATATCAGGTCGCATTTGGAGGGGGGTCCAGTCTTTTTTGGGGGGGTCGATTGATAAGAGATTTTGAGGGCCACTCGCGCGCGTCGGCCGCGCGCGCATGTCGAAATCCTTCGGCACCCTTTATCACCGACACGGCGACATCATAATCATCATCGGCGTGATCTGCACCGCCGCCGTCACTAGCCTACCCGTCGTCATTGCCATCGTCATCACCATCATCGTGTCTGCCGTTGCCGACCTCGCTATGATACCGCGCCCACACGAGTCACCAACTCGCGCTGAAGTGCCCGCGCGTCAACGCGTCCTGCGAGACGCGCTGGGGAAGCCCCGAGCTGTCAGCGCCACCACGGTCGCGTCGGTCGCGCCAGACTAGGCGGCCACTCTGCGCACACTCTCGCGCGAGTTAGCGCGGCCGCTGCGATGCACCAAAGCGCCAAGCAGTCATCGCAATCGCCGCCGCATGGGCTTTGCAAGCCAAGTTGTGGGTGGGTTGGTCGGATGATTGACCGAGCAGTGGAGCTCACAACTTCAAGTTCAACAGGGTGAATTGCACCACGTAGATCGCATAACATACATGGCACAGCATAGGTTGCACCGCAAATATGGCACAACAACATCGGTCGCACCACAGTGATTGCACCACATACGTTGCACCACATACATCGCACCACCCATATTACCCACGCAGGTTGCACAACATATATTGCAAGGAACATGCTGCCTGGGGTCCACGCTGGCTGACATATCTATTGACGTGTCCACCCCGGGTGTCTCTATTTTCATAACGACACCCAATGAGTGTGCAGATGCTTGTAGCAAAAAAGGAAGAACAATACTTCGCATAGGCCTGGGATCTGGGCCCCAAGGCAGGCAGATAGTCGTTGCCCTCCAAGTGAGGACGGGCCCCGGGCCCCTGGCTGACGAGAAAGCAGCGGCCCTGCGCTGGCCTCTCACCTTCGCGAGGCCTCTGTCCTCCCAGTCCCCTCCTCCGCCTGCGCTTCGCGGTGCCGCTCTTCCTTTTTGGTGTTGCTCCTCCTCCTCCTCCTCCTCCTCCTTTTCCGCCTCTCGGCGCAGCAAAATCTCTGAGAGCCCGCGGCCCTGGAAGAGGTATCGGGCGCCGCGGCCGCTACGAGGCGCTACGAGTCGCTCTGGAGCGATATGTCTTTCCAACCATGCACCCGACATCGTGACTTTTGCCCAGCGCGGACCTTCCATGCAGAGGGCTCGACCCCTTTGCTTGGTTTCAATGCGAACCCATGTTTGACGACACCCCTGGCACCTGGGACCGTCAGAAAACAACCTACAGGAAGAAACGACAGTCCCCAGGAAGGGACCCACCAGACCCATGGGAAGCCACGCTGCGCGACAGAAGCATGAAGTCGGACCTCTAAAGAAGGGGTCTGGGAAGGCCTGACCGACGGATGTGGGGGCCCCAAACCGTTGCGGCGACAGACCGTGCGGTGACCTCGGAACCCCAAAAGGCCTCACCGCACGGTCAGTGCCGCAAGGCTTTCGGACCCCCGAGGCCCCAATGGTCCGAGACATCCTCGGAGAACGACCCGAGTCCCAAAACCATGCCGCCACACCGAATCCCTGCTGACTCACCATACGGTGTGGTCACCGCGCCGCTTGGGGGTCCCCGACCCAGACCCGCGACGTCAGGATTTTCTCACGGCGAGGATCTCCAGACGTCTGAACCCCATCCAGGGGATAGTTTTTCAATCCTGAGCTGTTTTTCGAGGGTCCCAGGGTTCAGTGATACCTCCGAGAGGCTGAAACTATACAGAAACTGCATGTCGTTCATGTACAACGCAAGAGGGTCAGGACGGTGAGGGAGGGAGGGAGCGAGGGAGAACGAGGAGGAGGAGGAGAAGCGAGGAGGAAGCGGAAGGCGCGGAGGAGTGAGCGCGGAGGAGGGAGCGAGGAGGATGAAGGAGTGAGGGGGAGAAGGACAGAGCGAAGAGGAGCAGGAGCGAAGAGGATCAGGAGGAGGAGGAGGAGGAGGAGGAGGAGGAGGAGGACGAGGAGGAGGAGGGAGCGAGGGGGTCTGTGGACGGACCCCCGCGACGAACTTTTGCCGCCTGGGGCCGCCGCTCCCGACGCCTGGACCCGGCCGACCCCTGGGCGCCCGGCTGGCGCGCCACCTCATGAGCGTGACCTGCAGCAGCCCGCGCGCCGCGCCCCCTCCGGGCGCGACGCTGCGGCGAGGCGTCGGGGGCGTCCAGGGAGGGGGGCGCTCCTTTTCTCCTGCTCCTCCTCCTCCTCCTCCTCCTCCTCCTCCTCCTCTTCCTCCTCTTTCCCTTCTCCTTCTCCCCCTCCTCCCCTCCTCCTCCCCTCCTCCTCCTCCTCCTCCTCCTCCTCCTCCTCCTCCTCCTCCTCCTGAAAACCTGCCGCGTTGCCGTCCTCCTCCCTCTCCTCATCCTCCTCCTCCCTCTCCTCCTTCTCCTCCTCCTCCTCCTCCTCCTCCTCCTCCAAGCCCTCCTTCTTCTCCTCCTCCCGCGGGGTTCGCAAACCATGGCCCGAGGCATGTGCGCCGACGTGAGCGACGAAGAGAAACGGCCCTTACGCGAGATTGCGTGGCGACCTGACGCTGCGGCTTAGTTACGCGGGCCGCCAGCGCGGCACGCCACATCGGAAGCGAGGGCGCTTGCGCGCGGCCTCGATTGACGCGGGCAGCTTGCGCGCGACTGCCCGCGCAGTCGATCCCGTGGTCTGCGTCGCCCACGTGCGCCGAGGAGCGGTGGGGCTCGTGGGGAGCTCTCCTGGCCCCATGACGCCCCCCCCCCCGTCATCACGCCCCTCCTGGCCGCCCCCCCAAGGCAGGGCCGCCGCGAGAGGCACGGGCCGGAGAAAAAAGGTGCGCGCACTCTTGCTCAGAGTGTGGGCGCGGTCGATCCCGTCGGGTCGGACGAAATACCCAGACATCCGGGGACAGAGGGTTCTCAACCCGAATCGTTTTCTGACGGCCCCGTTGTCGAAAACTGCCCGTCGAGATGGTGTCACGTCGCGGGGATGTCAGGGCAAGGGGTGGGAGCATCGGCTCACGAACCTGCTTTTCCGGGCCCCTCCCAGCGCCTGAGGCGCGACGAAAGCGCCTGGCAGCGGAGAAAAATCCAGCTGCACCCAGCAGATTTGATGCCGTTCCCTCCCCGTTCCCGCCCCACCCCCCCTTTCGTCCGCCCCGATCCCCCCCCCGTTTCGCACTCCCCCGTTTCCCACAGCCATGCCCCCCCCACCCACCCACCCACCCGCTCGTCCCCCCCCCTCTCGAGCTTCCCGCTCCCCCCCTTTTCGCCCCCTCCCCCCCCCCCCCCCGCGCTTGCCCCTTTCGTCCGACCCGATCTCTCAGAACGGAGGGCCCCGAGATCCGGGCGCAGCGCATCTGTGCACACCGGGCCCCCTCGCCCAGTCCTCGGGCCACCCCGGGGGCCCTCCATCGCGGAGCGGACCAGCCCGAGGAGGTGGCCGAAGGAGGGGGGTCGAGGGCGCCGGTCGCGATTTTGCCCCCCGCGTTGCACGTTTTCGCGACGTCGGATCTCGGAGAAGGACAAGCGAGCAAGGAACCTGGCGCCTTGACGGCGCATCGGCAGCAAAGAGTACATGCGTCTCAGACATCTGTCACCTTCGTCAGGGCAGATGTGCGCAGAAACTGGGTGTCCAGCGGAGGGGGACGGAGTGCATCTCTTGAGGTAACCACTTCCCTGAGTCCAACTTTTCACTCTGAGTCATTTTCTTGACGGTCGCGGGGCACGGTACCTAAAAAGACCCGCCCAAAAGCCTAAAATTGCCCCATGGATCCCGTCGACATTCTTTCACGACGCGAAGATTTCAGGGCTTGGTGGCGACCCCGCCTGGCATTGCCTGAAGGGGGTGGGGAGAGGGCAGGGTCCCGGGATCGGGTCGGACACGAGGGGGAGCTAGCAAAGGAGGGGTTATCGAATCAGCTCACGTCTGAGTTCCCCAACGCCTCTGGGCACCGGAGGTGCCAGTACATCGAGGAAAGCGCCCGGCGGCGGGGTCGAAGCTAGCTGCACTCAACAGATTTCGTACCCCCCTTTTCCCTGTCCGCTCTCTTGGTCCGGCCTGCTCCGAGCACTGCCTGACAGGAGCTGAAGAAGGGAGTTGGGGGTCCCGAAGCATTGCGATGACAGCCCGTGCAGTGACCTCGAACCCCCCAGGGAGCCTCCGTCACCGCACAGTTCTGGGAGCCTGGGCGCCCCAGTTGCCCGAGGCATCCTGAGAACGACCCGAGTCCCGAAACCGTTCGCCCACCCCGAATCCCCGCTGGTTCACCACACGACGTGGTCATCGCACCACAGGGGCCCCCCGAGCGAGGGCAGGGCCGAGGCCATCCCATGAGGGCGGCGGATGACTGGGGCGGTTGCCTGGACTCGCGCGCCACTCAGTAGCGCCCGGCCTGGCCTCGGGAGCGCCCGCCCCCCCCTCCGCCCTGCCCCCAAGGCCGAAGGGGCGCGCAGATAGCATCAGCAACCGCGATCCTCGACAACACAAATCACGACGGCTCACACCGGGCTTCGGGATGAAAGGGGCCCAGACCGCTGGGGAGCCCACGCCGTGAACAAAAATCACACCAAACTTCGGGCGTCGGGCCCCCCGGGCACCGCAGCACGCGGAAGGAGGCACCTCCGTGCTTGGCCGTGGTCCTTCCTGGGCTCTAGCCACTCGGTGCGCGACCTCCTGGCCGACGCCAAGGGGGCCTGCGCATCAGCCTGGGGCAGGGGTGGCCCTCCCAGGCGTCCAGGGACGCCCGTGCCCCTCGCAGCGGCTCCCCAAAGGCCCGGGCCCCTTCTCGGGAGGAGGAGGAGGAGGAGGAGGAGGAGGAGGAGGAGGAGGAGGAGGAGGAGGAGGAGGCGCTCGGGCTGCCGTCCCGAGCCGTTTCTCGGACGGCCCCGAAGGGACCAAAAGCTTCCTCTCGAGGGACGCAGCACGCCGACCCGGACCAAGATGTCGCGAGACCTTGTCGACGCCGATCCTGATCATGGCCCATGCCACCAGCCGCCGATTCGCGAGGATGGTCCGCGAATCGACGGTGTCCTCTCCAAGATGGACGGTGACCAAGATGGGCACGACGTTTCCGTCTTGGTCATGGTCCCCGTTATCTTCCCCTGCATTCCGACATTCCCTCTCAAAAGCCGAGCCCCCATGAGGTCTCGATCCATTCCCTGGGACCGGTTTCATTAATAATTGGTTCACGGCCCCGAGGCCCAGTAAGGGCCCCTGGATGCGAAAAATAGCGACAGACCGCCCGTCATGTTATTTTCATGTCTCGTCAGGGACCTTCTGACCCAGGTCAATCCAGACCCGGGTCAGTCAGGCCTTGCAGAACCCTGCAAGATCCTGCACCCAAAACCCGGGTCAACGCGAAAGATCCTGCAAGATCCTGCAGGTTCCTGCACCCAAGCCCGGGTCACTGCGACCCTGGCCCTGCAGGATCCTGCAAGCTCGGGCGCTCTGGCTGACCCCCGTTTGCGTTGGCCCCCGTCTCGAGGCTCCCGACCTCGAGGGGGTCTGGGCCCCCCTCCGTGCCCGTCGAGAGGCTCCTCACGGCGCAGGGCGGTCGTGTGGGGCAGGAGCGGCGGTGGCGCGTAGACGATCTGCCCTCCGCGGTCCTGCTGTCCCGACATCCAGGCTGGGCCCGCCGGTCGCGGTCCCGCGGGGGGAGGGGGCAGAAACGAGAGGTCCTGAGGGGGCCCAGGGTCACGCAAATACATGCACACGAACCCCAGGATTCCCCACATTGTCTCACACTATGTGGATGTTCGTCTTCCCCCCACTTCCCCTGTTTTCCCATCTTTTCCTGGGAGTCGACGATTAATTGTGCCGTGTGTGTGTTTCCCCTCCTCAGGGTTGCCCTGCTCAGATCGGTGATCCTCAGAGCGTGTGCTGGCGAAAACGTGTGCTTGCCCACCGAGGCCCTTCGATACGACGCAGGCGGTGCAGTGAGGGCCGACGTGATGCTGCGTGCTACATTGGAAGAGCTGGTCGAGGGGAAGTGCACACTGTGCTCGCCGAAGTGCTCAAGATCATCGACCTCCCCGGTAGGGTCCGAGCAACTCGATGGGGTCGAAGGGTCGCACCGCGTCGCCGCCGCATCGGCAATGCATCGGCGATGTCGGCATGGAGAGCATCGATTTCCGAATCGAGCCGCCATCGCCGACGCATCGGCGATGCGGCGCGACCTTCTGGTCACATCTACCAGGACCCCACTTGTGAGTCCTGCAGGAGAGCAAGTGGGCCTCTAGGAAGGGACCAACCTCTCACAAACTTACGCAATCGACCATGGATCTTGACGCCCAAAGCCTCGGAACAACCGAAGCGGTTCGTGTCTCGCCCTGTTGAAGTCAATTTGGGCCACCGAGACCGTCAGGCGGACGATTTCGGGCGCTGGGACCGTCAAACAACAGCTCTGGATGACAAACCGGCCTTAGGGAAGGGGTCAAGAGGTTAGGGGGCCATCGAGAATATCAGAGCGCCGAGTGTCTGGGGGCCCTCTCTTACCCAGACCTCCGACGTCATGTTTTTTGTTCCTCCCATAACGTCGACCTCCAGAAATCTCGACCCACTCCCGGGGACCATCTTCTCATCCTGAGCCGTACTTGGCTGGAGCCGGGGCCGGCGAAACTCCTGAGGCCGACGCTGGCAAAAACCTCCTGCCGCGATGTCTTGTCTCGGCGCGAGCAGTTCGGGGATCTTACCCGCCCGCCTTCGGCGGTCATCGGCGGCCGTTCGACGGAAGGGTCACTGCGGTCTTTGATAGCAATCGCTAGTATTTGGCGCCGGTCCGCGCGAAAGCTTGGATGCGGAGCGCCTCAGTGCGGCCAGGCGGCCTGCACCCCTCCCAGGCAAGGAGGAGGAGGAGGAGGACTGGGAGGAGGAGGGGGAGGAGGAAGAGGAGGAGGAGAAGGAGGACCAGGGAGAGCGAGGAGGAAGAGGAGGTGAAGGAGGAGGAGGAGGGGAAGGAGGAAAAGGAGGAGCAGAAGGAAAAGGAGAAGGAGGAAGAGGAGGAGGGGAAGGAGGAGGAGGAGGAGGAGGAGGAGGAGAGAGAGGAGGAGAGGAGGAGGAAAGAGAGAAGAGGACAAAAAGAGGGAGGAGGAGGAGGAGGAGGAGGAGGAAGGAGGAGGAGGAGGAGGAGGAGGAGAGGAGGAGGGGAGAGGAGGAGGGAGGAGGAGGAGGAGGAGGAGGAGGAGGGAGGGAGGAGGAGGGAGGAGGAGGAGGAGGAGGAGAGGAGGGGAGGAGGAGGAGGAGGGAGGGGGAGGGGGAAAGGGAGAGGGATGATGGTGGTGATGGTGATGACACTGATGATGATGATGATGATGATGATGATGATGATGATGATGATGATGATGATGATGAGGAGGAGGAGGAGGAGGAGGAGGAGGAGGAGGAGGAGGATTATCATGATGGTAATGGTGATGACGACGATCTTTTGACCGCTAGTGCGTTACTCAACGCACTGCCAGCCAAGCCGTATCACCCGCAAGACGCAGATAGACCGCTGGAGACACTCACTCGGAAAGACAATCAAACAAACATGCCAATCTATAACAAAAGAATGCACCCGCGGTGGAGGCCACGCACACGCCAACCGTATCTTACCAGGAAGCTGGCCTGCCATTCAGTTACAAGAGAGAACGAGTACTGATATTGCACGATGGCAGAACCGCCGGAACAAGTGTGCGGCGTCACTTGGGACAGCGCAGCCCGCGCTATCCGCCAGGCCGTGCCCACAACAAACGCAGGGAGACCACCGAAGCCACTCCCTGGGGTAGCCCGAGCAACAGTCCCATACGTCAGAACTCAAACCTCACGTTGCGACTCGACCTCAAGGTGCCAACAAGAGGCGAACAGGCGCACCTCACCAAGTCGCGAAGAGACCGCCTCAGAGTGGTCGTGAGAAACGGCAGCGACCTCCGCCAGATCTGGAAGATCCGCACGTACTTTAAGGTCCGCGTCATGACCCGCACGAACAGGACACAGGACAACAAACAAGAACGGGAAGATCAACACCACGGACAGAAATATCCAGAACACCCACACGAACACTAAGAACCGCACTTACCGGAGAACCAGCACGAACTGGAGAAGAGCGCGCCTCATCCAATAGCGAAGAGACAGCCTGAAAGTGCTCTTTAAAGAGAGCAACGACCTCCGCCATCTCAGGAGGATCCGCACGTCCAGGAGGATCAGCATCACAATTTGAAGGTGCAGGAGGATAAGCACGCACGGAAATATCATCACACCGTACAAAGAGAGGTACCCATATCCGCACGTACAAGAGGAACCACGCGTACAGGAAGATCAGCACGAACAGCTAGGCCAGCATCACACAAAGGAAAGTCGGGAAGCCCCGCCCGAACAAGAAGATCGGTTTCTACAGCGTGTGCAGGCATACCAGCATAGCCGACACCACCATGATATTGGACACCGACAGCAGGGGGCGCCACACCAGACCACTGCACCAGCAGGAAGAGAAACAGGAACCTCGGCGTTGAATTGGAACTTCGGCACTGACGGGATGGATCCAGAACCAAAAACGCCAAGAGGAACACAAGCTCCAGGATGCTGCCGTGGCCGCTTCGCTTCAGGCCCCTGTCAATGGTCGCAACCACCAGGCGAATGCCACTGATCCAACCGGCGATGATCACCCAAACCACGGTGCCGCCCTCCAGCAGCACCACCATCAGAACCGGCGTCAACATCGTCAACGGGACCATCGCCAAGGCCGCCCCCGTGGCCGCCAGCAAGGCCTGCTCTGGAGGGTAGGGCAGGCTTGATCAAGAAACGGATGTAGTATTCAATTTCGGATCTTCTGTGCCCATGGTCCGTCACCACATGCTGAAGGATGTTCGCTGCAAGGCTCTGCAGCAACTCGATCGCGAAGAAACATTGCACCTGCGCATCGATGACATCGAGCATCGAGCAGCACGACACCCGACACGGCCGCCCTTCCTGAAGCCGTTGAACGATCCAGAGGAGCCGCGAGGCAGAACCTATAGCCGAACGGAGGAAGCACCGCAAGGCGAACGCGAAGCAGAGGGGGGGGCCGCGCGCACGGCCCGATGGCCCGAAAATCGGCAGGTACATGACACAGAACGGATTATGATGATGACGATGTAATGATAGTGGTGATGATGACGATGATGCTGAGAATGATGATGCTGATGATGATGACGATGCTGATGGTGATAATGATGATGTGATGGTGGTGGTGATGATGTTGATGATGATGATGGTGGTGATGGTGGTGATGATGATCATGATGGTGATGATGATGTTGATGATGATGAGTATGATGAGCATGATGAGTATGATGAGTATGATGAGTATGATGATGATGATGATGATGATGCTGATGATGATGATGATGATGATGACGTCGACGATGCTGATGATGATGATGATTATGATGATGATGATGATGATGATGATGACGTCGACGATGCTAATGATGATTATGATGATGATGCTGATGATGATGATGATGACGATGATGATGATGATGGTGATGATGATGATGATGATGATGATGATGATGATGATGATGATGATGATGAGGAGGAGGAGGAGGAGGAGGATGATGATGATGATGAGGATGATGATGGCGATGATGAGACCACCAATCGGCGAAAACGAGCTTCGAATGCAGTACCACTGCGGCTTCGCCCAAGCGTCTGGGGAGGGCGGTGGGGGAGGAGGGGGAGGGCAGGAGGGGGCAGGGCTCGGACCTCCCGCGCAGCGCCTCCGGGAACCAGAACTGGACGGCGCCCGCGCGCACGCGTGCCAGCCGCAGGCGGCACCCAGGCTGCGGCCAGTCATCTCAACCGCGAGCCTCAGCTGCAGCCGGGCCT